AATCTAATCTTCAGTCTCGCTGACAACAGACCTCTGAAGCAGCTAAAGCCAGTCCAGGCAGGTTTCCTACTTTTGACTGCATCACTTTGATCTCCCTACACTGCTCTTAGTGTTTTTACTCACCATGTCACAACCAATAATTTCAAAATTTGCTTTTGACAAGATTTCACCTCCCAGAATAGCATTGTAAAAACTAGTTCTTATTCACATGCAAAAATTTTAAAATCCTCCTCTCCAACCTAATTATTAATCTCTTTTACCTGATAGAGGTAGTTTTAACCAAAGATAATATTTTTAGCACTCTAAAATTTGTAACCTGCCACTTCTAGAACTCTGCAAATCTTAGTTAACAGTATTCTAATAATTGGATTATAGATTGTCTTCTCTTGGGTTCCAATATTTGTACACTGAATTTTATGTAAAAGTGTTTCTAATTTGTGAGTTGAAAACTATATTGTTTTAAACAACCAATGCATATTATGAGCATATACAGTTTTATCAAATCCCTTAACATTACAGATTGAAGCTGTCATTTGATAATTTGATCTGACAGTCCTTTTCTGTCCAATGGAGTTGCTGGTGACCCTCTTGCCAAGAATTAGATCTATGTCGTTCTGCTATCAGACCTTGGAAGTTTTCCAGAAGGCCCACTGAATGCAGTGTTTGGCCAGTGGATACCTGTTCTTCTTTCAGAGTTTTATCAAAATGTATTGGTCTTCTGGTATGCAACTCAGATGAGCATTGTGACGGCATTTTATGCTGCCTCCGCCTCTCTCTATAACAGAATCATTCACAGTCATTGGCAAGTTAAGTCTTCACATTTATGCCCTCTCTGCCCATAGCCTTTAGGAAGGAGGTGTGTGGGTATTTACAGAGTAATCCCTAAGCCCCTTGGAAAGTTGGAGGAAAGTAGCTCCTTGCACTCAGAATATCAAGGCCTTTTTTGACTCTGGATTGCTTAGGTTTCCTGGCATTAGGATACTGCCCAGAGGCACAGTCAGCTTTGTTTTGCTTTTTATTTGTTCTCATCATTTTCCCATGATCCAGTACAAATGAATAAGGCATCACTAAAATTGCTTAGTTCCTTCAGAGAAAATATTGTGCAGGTTCTCACTCTGAATAAAGTAATTCCCAAAGGACCCTACACGTCTTTTCAGGTTTACCTACTTCAAGATTTTTCTTTTAAAGGCAGGGGGTTAGAAGGTGGTCTGTGCATCACAGTAGAACTTTTTGGAAGGAGAGGAGGGAAGGAAGGAGCTGGTCTAAACTACAGTCAGAATTTCTGTCTTTTATCTTTTATTTACTCCCCAGGGATCCAAAATCAGCTGGTTCCTGTCCTGTCCCCCTGACTCCTGTCCTTCTCCATAGTCTCTCATGCCCATCCATTTAGTTGAACATGTCAGCTTCCCCTCCATCCACCCTGCAGATTTTAAAGAATCTTTTAAAATCTTTTCCATATAGATATTTGATTGGTATATATACATATATAATCATATAATATTATATTAATATAATATGTAATGTATTAATATAATATTATTAATATTGATGTTATAATATAAAATTATATATATATATATTTTGCCACAGCCCTTTTGCATTCCAAAGACAGACACAGAAAACAAAAAGGCTTCTGGTTTTTAATTCTGCTGTCCTTGCCGTTTTTTTCTCTGTGTCATGCTTATTGCATTTTTGTTTGCTCTTGCATATTTTTGCTTCCTATATATTCATTCACAACAGGGAAGTATGATGGCTGATTTTCCTTTTAATTTGTCACTTGCTTGATCCAGTATGTACCAGCTAAGCAATGTCCTCTCTGTTTCCTCACAAAGGAGCACAGGCCTCCTGATATGCCCTTTCCTAGCTTCCTGAATGAGTACAAGGTCACTGAACACCCAGATGACAACAACATCTTCAACTTCTTTTATCCTTGACAACTCTGGTCACTTAGGCCCCCATTTATTGCAGTCTTTCTGTAGAAACGGCTTGTTCACATATACTCTCCCTCTTTTCTCAGGCTTCTTTGGTGCTTATGCAATGGGAAAAATTGATCATCTACCTTCATGGTTTGGGGAAGGTGAAAACAAACCTGTTGCCACACAATGCTCCAAATTGGTTGGAGGGGTTGGAGGCATTGTTGTAGAACCCCCAAACTAGGTCTGCTCACCTGACACAAAGAAAGCCGATCACCGACATTGGCTTCGTGGAAGAAAGTAGATATTCATTGCAGACCACAGAGCAAGGAACAGGACAGCTAATGCTTAAATCCCAGGCTCCATGAAGGGTTAGGGGTGAAGGACATTGGAGCTGAAAGATGCTTGACCAGCTCATGTCCAAGTTCTTGGTTGGCCAGTTTGTGACTTGACTTTGATTGGTCAGTGATCCCATGCTCTGAAGAATTTATGATGGCTGAGTGGGCTTCAGTTGGTGGGGTTTATGTGAATATATTTTCCTACACCTGAAATTGCTCTACCTGAATCACTCCATCTCAATGCTGGCCATTGAGGTTTATATCAACTAGAAAAGAGAAAGACTCCTTGAATCTGGTGCTTAGGAGCTTTTAAGGGTTATGTCTTTACGTCAGGGAATTCATTTTGGTTAAGGACAGATAAGGACACATTGTACTAAGGGAGACAAGCAGGAGACTGGACCCTGCTCTTACATTATGGGGTTTAGTTTCCAACTTAATAGACTTATACTCTATTAAGACCAAAATTTTCAGCACAAACCCCAAAGCACGATCTTTACAATTTACTGGTTTTAACTTAAGATTTAGTTGACAAAGATGAGACAATGTCAAAACAAAGTGATAATTTGGCAAATGCCCACATTGTGTTGGTGATCGTATTGCAATACACATCACTGCCAACACTGTACATTAGAGTCCTTAGAACAAGTTCATATGATAAATGAAGATTTGTATCTTTTTAGCAATAATGCCTCCATTTCCTTCATCACGCAACCCCTGGTAACCAGCATCTGCTTTTCTATTTTGGAGGTGGTGGTGGGCAGACGGGGGATTGACCTCTTTGAAGCCATGTGTCAGATCTTAGAATTCTTATCTTTAACTTTTTCTAACGTAATGTTCTCCAGGTCATGTACCTTGTTTAAAATGAAAATATATTTCTTCTTTCATTATTGCTAATATTCCATAATGTAAGTGAGTGACAATTCCTGATCTACTCATCCATTGTGTCTCTATGTTGGTTTTTATAAATAATGCTACAATGAACATGAAGCTAGAGGCATTATTTTGAGATACTGATTGCATTTCCTTTGGATATATTTCCAGAAGTGAGATACTGAACTGGGCTTTTATACATTGTATGAAAGGGAGAAAGGGAGAAGGCAGCAGCTGCTTGGTTTGCATGTGCTTGTGACATGTAGTTTGGAGTAGTCATCATGGCGGATGGAGACAAAGTTAGGGTGATGCAGCACTCCAAATATTCCTGGAAGGGAGTGTCTGACTTCAGCAGGGTGATGGAGTCACTTCTGCTTTCCCAACCAAGCAAAGGTATCATATTATGGTTCTATATCTAACTCCATGCTGATTTCCATTGTGGTCCAACCAGTCTTTGTTTAATATATATTAACAATTCATATATTTAGTTTTTATTGAATTTGTTAATGTTACAGAGTTCTTGCACTGTGGAACCATGCCTGAGAATCCAAAGAAATGGAACAATGACAGCCTCATCCACCTACCATATAGCAATGAAAACTTGATTCATGAGCATTTTGATAATTTCACATTCCTTTAAAAAATTATGAGTTGGAATTTAAATCTGCTGCAGGTCTTTAGATATCTAACACAGTAAATAAAACTTCCACATATACATCTCAGTTCATTTCTCTATCATAGATCCAACAAAATTTTGCTGGAAAAACTGTATACGTCTCAGGGGAAATATGTGGCTCGTGGCCAATGGATTATTTCCTAAGCTTTTTGGGTCCCAAATGATGTCCTTAGTTTAGCCTTTTGTTTCCGGTTTCATCATCCAACTCAACTGTGGCTGGCTCAGCTACACACATATACACATGCACACACATGCACATGTGCGTGCACGCAATCCTACCCATCAGCAACATTATTACCCAGAGCAGCTGGCAGACCCTGTCAGAAGCTGCTGTATCCCTCTTATGAGTCCATTCTGGCACTACACTTGTGTATAGGAAGATGTCAGCGCACCGCATAGCTTCATCTACCCATTTGTTTCATTCTCTTCAGCAGCGAGTCTGCAGCTCCTGCACTTAGCTAAGAGATGAGAGAGAGATTAGAGAAACCTAGACTCTCCATCAAGTGGTTCCATACCACTGTGCAGTGTTTCTGCTGAACCCAAGAAATAAAATCAGAAAACTGCCAGAATATCTCATGTGGTGGAAGGAAAGTTTCAGTAATCCTGGGTAGCTTCCTCAAGCCCCTCTTAAGGACTAAAGAGTGCTGGATGTCTTAGGCTGTGATGATTACAAACAGAAGTGCCACATCACCTTTTTCCTAGACTCTCCAAATGAACAGTGTACAGATGCACCAAAGGGCGGATCATGGAACCTCTGAGACAACGGGCACCTGTAGTGTCCTCTGCCTTAAAAATCTGGACAGACGTCGAGGTGATGCAAGAAATGTGAATGGTTTCAGGGGAGGTTTTGCTCTTGTTTCTCTGAAGTGTAAGGATAGATCAGTAACTCTCTTCACCCGAGCGGGTACCACTCTCCCCAGCCTTTTACACCGAAATTCAGACCTGATTAGCGGTCATAGCAGCACCTGGGGAGAGTCTCCAGCAGCCACTACCCTCCACAAAGGTGATTTGGTTCTGCTCCGGGATTGGCAAAGTCATGACACATGTCACAATTCTAATGCATATTTCAGGTTATTTACTTAGAATAAGATCTATCAAAGCAAAGAAGGCCTTAATGTGGAACACTATGCAAATAAAAAAATTACTTTAAAAAATTATTCCCATCCCCACCCTCTTTCCCATTTTCTGGACCCAAGTTTGCCAAATTTGGTTACCTTGGAATACAACTTTGGTTGAGAGGATGAACCACAGCCCTAAAGATGATGGGAACAAGCAGGTCTTTTGAAAGCAGTGTGTTCCAGGAAGATGTATGTGGCCACAGCCTACTGCTGAGTATTTCTTCTGGGTAGGGCACAGGACAAGTCAATTAAGGTCACTTAAATCTTCGTCTTTTACAGCAGATCAGAACCCAGGCTGCTGACTTTCTGTAGGGTTTCTGACAGGAACCCGGCAGGGCTAGTTTCAATGTTCACATCAACACCCAATAGCTATAACCTTCTTATCCAGAAGCTGGCATCCACAGGAAGTCCACAATGATAGCAGCAAATCTGAGGCAGTCAACCTTGATGGAGGCTCAGTATTTCCAGCTTTCTACATGCTTAGCAGTGGACTGCAGGGATGGAAACTGTGTGTCACTGTAGGTCTCTGGTGGTCCCTGTGGCGTTTCCCTGCTTGTGGTTAGCCTGGCTCCAGATGGCCTATACATACCACTAGATATCACTGGTTCTGGAGTTTCTGTAACAACTACTGGAGCGGGAGCTGCTTGTACTGGAGCTGTTTTGTTGCAGGGACCTGCAGATTTTTCTATGCCACCACTGCCACCTCCACCTTCTTCCCAGTTATCAGCTGGATCGTCCCTCTTTTCAGTATCATCTTCTTCCTTTTCACTTACCTGCATTGCCTGAATTCGAAGGCCACTGTCACCAACCTCTTTTTGTTCAGATTGTTTCCATTCATCTTCATCCTTGGTCACAGCCTTGGCCTTGGTGGCACCTGCAGCACTGGCCTCCCGGCTGCTCCGCTCCATCTTGGCCATGGCTGCAGCTTCCTCCTGCATTTTATATCTTACAAAATTTCCCTTTTCTCTGTATTCTCACTGGTACTTGTTATCTTTATTATTTTAAGTCACTGTCATTCTGCTTTCTACTTGTTGAATTCCTTATTAGTGAAGGGTTATACTTGTGACGATAAAATAAATGGAAAATAGGTTATTGTGAAAACTGTAGGAGAAAATGAGAAATGAAGGAAGTGGGATTTGTTCAACTTATATAAATAACTTTTAAAAGCTATTGTAACATCTGGAGTGAGTTTTGGTTCTGATTTGCACTTTCCTGATGACTAGTCATATTGATTATTTTTTTCTGATACTGTTGGGCATTTCTATGTCTTCTTTGGAGAGATGTCCATTTCAGGCATTTTGTCCATTTTAAATTGAATTACTTTGGGTATGTTGTTTTGGTTTTAGTATTGAGTTGACTGACTTTCTAACATGGTTTGTATATTAAGCCCTGAAAGATACAAATTGTGCAAATATTTTCTCTCATTTTCTATGTTGCCTTTTTATTTGTTGCTCTGAGGAAGTTTTGATACCATACTATTATCTAATTTTGTTTTTGTTTTTGTTGTCTATATTTTTCTAGGATAATGTTTTAAAAAATCACTGTGAAGGTCAATGTCAAGGAGCTCTCCCCCACACATTTCGTTCTAAGAGCTTTATGTTTCAGTTTTTAATCAATTTTGAGTTAATACATCTGTGTGGTATAAGAATTGCAGTGTGTGTGTGTGTGTGTGTGTGTGTGTGTGTGTGTGTGTGTGTGTATGCACACGCGTGCGCATGCGCACCCAATTTTCCCAATGACTCATTCCCTAGAAAGTTCTTTTTCTCTTGTGTTTCTGGGCATTCTTGTCAAACTGTTGTTCACTTTGCATAGATTTATTTCTGAACTCTCTTCTGTCCTTTGGTTCATGTGTTTTTATGCCTGCATACCTTTTTGATTACTGAAATGGTCCATAGAAGAAGAAAAATCATCTAAAACATGTGGAACCAAAAAAGACAATGAATAGCTAAAAAAGTATTGAGAATAATGAAAATGGAGACATCACATTCTCTGACTTCTGTTTACCCATATTGTACCTCACTACCAGTGATAGTACTAAAAGAAACAGAGCAGTGCTGACCTGGGATAAAACCGTCATCGTCACAGATACTTACGATCTTACTTACATGATTCACAGTGATTTTCTTACATCTTATCAATAACAAATCACCATGTTCCCTTAATGTGTCATGCACATACATACATCCCATATAGCATAAGGACAAACTTCATATATCCTATAGATAAATTATGAAGTATCACATTGTATTTTGTCAATCTTCTGGAAATAAAAATAACATTTTATTTGCTTATTTTCTGTTGTTTTAGTTTTTACTTTAAGTGAAGGCCTTGCATTGTGAACCCAAAAAACGTTGCAAAGCATTTCTGCTTCATTTCTTAAGTAACTCAGTAATTCAGTATCACCTGCTTAGAGTTGATCTACTCACATTTCAGAAAGGGATGACTACATGTTCTGATATGTGCCCACTTCCTGTCCACTACGCTCAATCTGAGCTTTCTCCCATTTCTGAAATGGATGCCTTTCCAACCCTACAATTGTGTGGGGCGTATTGTTCATGGAAACATTTGTCCACATCTTAGTGTAGACCACCTCCCTGATTTCTTTCTCTTGACTCTCTTACTACTTTCCCTCACCTCAGCGTAAAAATCCCTGAGTTTTTTTAATTGATTTTTTTGGATTCTTTGTATTTCATTGCACAATTCGTTAGGCTCAGGGATTTCCTTTTCCACCCTCCCCTGCCTCTTGAACTCCCCACCCATCCCAACACTGTTTTCCCCTATATTGTAGCAGTAGTCTAGACCCTCAGCAGATAGAAGTCCCATCACTCTGCTTTTTAGGTGTATCCTGACATTGTAGGTAAAGTCAGTGGTATAAAGTCCCTGCTTTTTACCCTCTCTTGCCTCGAGGTAATTATTACTTAAAGGATTATGTAAAAAATTACATGCTTCTTTTGAATGATCTTGCAGATTTTTTGTTTTCTCTGTGGGTGTTTCCTAGATTTCTCTGTTTAGTACACCCCAAAACAGAAAATATGGATAATTGAGCAAGTAACTGAACATTTCAGAAATCCCTGGTTGGATTTTGTGGCCATTTTCTTCTGCTTTATCCCAGGGATAAAGCACAGGAGAGTGATACACTGATGAGAAGAGATTGAGCTGTCATTCACGCACACCCACCACCACACCCCTTGCTTCCATCTCAAGGATGAAATGACATTATTTATGGTATTTTGTAATAACACTCTAGATTTAGTTCCAGAGGGATGAACTTTATCTAAACAAGTTCTTTTGTCCCAAGTTCATGTTTATGGTAGCATGAAAAAGCCCTGCTAAAGCAACAAGAAGGCAGAAAGTGATATCATTGAAATATCATAGAGAATCTTGGCAGCAATAAAATAAACTCAGTCTTCCAAGTAGATATAAAATCATTTCTCAGAGAAACAGATTTACAGGGTTAGTAGAGGCTTACTGAGCTTACACAGGGGGGCACTCAGAGATTCATGGGGCATTTTTCAGAGCAGTCCTTGAAAGGAGAAAGTGTGGAGAATTGCCATAGGCTTTGGCCTGCATTCTTCTTACACATTCCCCTTTTTATATGCACGAAACTTAAGAATAAGTTCTATTTGTGTGGAAGTTGTAAATTGGTGATCCAGTAATTCAGACCAGTGTGAAGAGGAGCTTTGTTTCCAAAATAATTATATTTTCTATCAAACTATGTCTTTCTCATTTTTCTTAGTCAAAAAATAGTGAAAGAGTATCATGTCCACATTCTCAAAGGCAACAATGGTTGTTACTAAGCAAGAACACATTGTTTGAATGGGACCCTGTTTACTTCACCACAGTCCTTACCATCTCTTGATTTATTTCACTTCACTCAAGTAACATAATTGAACTCAGAAAAATGTGTAATTTTCCCTTTAATCCCTCTGAGAATTAAGGGCTAATTTGTTCAATACTGATCCCCTCTAAGCTGTCTTTCCCAAACTCCATAGAAACTGGAGATAGCTCAGTGATTGTGGTAATTACTCCTGATCTGAATCCTTCTCTGTCAAATAAATTTGAAAACTAAAATGGTGTTCTGTTCAAAAAATAATTTATATACATATATGTATATGTAACCAGTGTTTTCTGTTTGCTCGCCATGCCATAGAACTGCAACTGCAAGTCTAGAGTGGTTTCTTGATCAAGCCAAAGGAGGCTCTTCCCTCTCAATGACAAATGTTGAACTTGTAGGATATGGTTGGGACATGACTTTACTATACAGTCACTATGGTATAGTGTTCTCTCCTCACAACAGTATGGGCTAATGTCTTTCTTATGTAACTTATGGCTCCATAGCACAAGGATTAGGTACATTCACAATCTTGTCCTCAATCTTGTTAGATCTCTTTGCTTCTCCCAAGGACATAAGGATAATAAGGGCTTATGTATCCACTACTAGTTTTGCTTCCTTCCCCCCGCCCCACCCAAAAACAATGCTATAGCTGGCTGTGTGAGAGTTTTCCCTGTTTATTTGTTCTCATTTCCTGGAAAGTTGACACCAGACATAAAATTAGACTCACCACAGAGTTCAGATGCAAATCAAAGAATTGGAGATCAATGTACCACTTTATAGATGGGATAAGTCTTGGAAGTGTCTTCTTTGGACAGCATGGATGACTGACAACATGACTAGTCACTATTCTTTCCATGAAATCCTGAGGGAGAATTGAATTGGTAGTTTGTTAGTAAATACCATAAAGGAAGACTTGGAAAGGAATTAGTTGAACTGAGAGAAATGTTCAGCCATGCCTCTGCAAAAACATGTATTCACAGACATGCACAAATGTGCACCAGTAAGAATAAGCACTCAGTGGATTTTTAAAAAATATATTTATTTTTATTGGAAAGCCCGGTATCCAGAGAGGAGGCGAGACAGAGAGGGAGCTCTTCTGTCCATTGATTCACTCCCCAAGCGTCCACAATGGCTAGTACTGAGCCAGTCTAAGTCAGGAGCCAAGAGCCCCTTCTGGTCTCCCAAGGTGCAGGGTCCTAAGGCTTTGGGCCATCCTTGACTGCTTCCCCAGGCCAGTAGCAGGGAGCTGGATGTGAAGTGGGGTCACCAGGATACAAATCGGCACTCACATGGGATCCCAGCACATGCAAGGCAAGGACCCTAGCAGCTAGGCCACCATGCCGGGCCCACTCAGTGGATTTTTAAGGAGAGATTGGTACAAGGTTGAGAAGAGAGTACAAAAGAGCACAGATGATCCAAAAGAGAAAGAAAAGGTGAAGGCGTCAACCTTCAGTCTTGGGACATGATCTAGCTATTTCCTTGGAATGCAAGGGTTATACTGGGACTCAGGAGTTGATGTAAAGATATGCTGTCCAGCTATAGATGCCTGTACTTACAATTCACTTATTAGCAGTTCTTCCTATCCTGGTAAATGGTGAAATACCATAAGGCACAGCATTATGCTACAGCCTACTGATGAATTTCCTTAACTAATGTGTCATGAAAATGGATTTGAGGTCAGGCACCAAAAGTTGGTAAGGTGTATGTATGTGTGTGTGGTGGGGTGGGGATGGTATGAATGGCGGCTTCTTAAGAGTCCACTGCTATAATTACCAGGATTCCAATTGTTCTTGTTGTCTTGCCCAACTCCCTCAGGATATTCCCCTAGGATATGCCAAAGAAAAAGTTGCCACTAATGGATCCCAAGAAGAGAAAGTGTATAAGGCATACAGTATAATACTTCTTCCCTGCAAGATGACAGGAGTTTCTGAACCCTTCAGCTTT